ACCACATGGAACATCCTCTAATATACTTTGGAACACTGTGCTACTAAAGCATCCATCAAAACACACTGAAGAGACCCTCAGGCTCAAGACTATCTATCAACAAGCACCAAAAACAACAACAATGAAACAGTCTTAGGCGGTGCCTAATTGGCTCAGAAGGAAGAGCATGTAACCCTTCATCTCAGGGTTGTGAGTCGGAGCCCATGTTGGGTATAGAGATTACTTACAAGTAAAAAATCTTAAAACAACAAAAAAAGTCTTAGAGAACACATAAGATGTACAGTGTACCCTTCATTTATACACATGAAAATTCATTATCTAGGTAACCACACTACTGTTTGGTTCCCTGACACCTGAGACAGGAAACAATAGTGCTGTCCTCTGCCAGTCCTCCTCCCCAGAACTTTAATGCAGTCAGAGAGTATGAAGGGATGAAGGCTTGCAAAAAGAAAGTTCCAAATCATCTTTTACATCAGCAAGAAACTCTTAGGAAGGTTTGTTTTTTATTTATTTTTATTTATTTTTTAATTTTTTAAATGTTTATTTATTATTGACAGAGAGAGACAGAGCATAAGCATGGGAGGGGCAGAGAGAGGAGGAGACACAGAATCTGAAGGAGGCTCCAGGCTCTGAGCTGTTAGCACAGAGCCCAACACGGGGCTCGAACTCACAAACTGTGAGATCATGACGTGAGCTGAAGTCAGACGCTTAACTGACTGAGCCACCCAGGCGCCCCAGGAAGGTTTGTATTTTAAAATATATACTCATCATAGACAATTATTCTGTGTTCTTCTGTTTTTTGGGGTTTTTTTTTTAGATTTGTTTAATATATTGTGATTAAACCGTATTCATAACTTTGTATCCTGATTTTTTCACGTACCCATTCTAACATAAGCATTTTTTATGTTACCACAGTTTTTAAGGGTTGCGTATTTCACTGACTCCATGAACCAGCTTTTTATTTCTCTAGTGTTAGACAACTGTACTATTTTCAATTTATTTTGCTACAAATTATACACATTATGAAATTATGGTCCACAGGTTGTAAGATTTGCCTAACATTATTTTTTTTTAAGATTTTTTAAGAACTATTTTTTTAATCTACTTATTTTGAAAGACAGAGAGGGAGTGAGGTGAGGAGGGGCAGAGAGAGACAGAGAGAGTGAATTCCAAGCAGGCTCTTGCACTGTCAGGGCAGAGCCTGATGCGGGGCTTGATCCCCCAAGCTGTGAGATCATGACCTGAGCTGGATGCTTAACTGAATGAACCACCCAGTCATCCTAAGATTTTATTTTTAAGTAACCTCTCCACCCAATGTGGGGCTGGAACTCACAACCCCGAGATCAAGAGTAACATGCTCTACTCCCAAAAGAACCAGGCAGGTGCCCCAGCATTCTAAGCAAAATGTAATTGTGAAAGTAAATAACAAAAGATTCTGATGTTGCAAAGTGATATGGTAAATCTCAAAGCCAAGTAGAAGCGTTGCAGGTTCTATTTTGGGGTTATCTGTTCTCATGAGAAATTGAGAGCTGACAGTATGAGAGTACCAGTTATCTCCAGCTAGGAAAAAGGACTGCATTCGATACTCCATTCCCATTCCTCACAGCCTTCATTCCTAATCTTTCATGGTAGAGGACGGGTAGAAACCCTTATGGAATAGCTGTGAGAAGTGGCAGGGGAGAGCTATCTCTCCCGCAATTCCTGTCTATCCTGGGTCCCAAAGAATGTGGCATTTTGTCAATGGCTACTCTGAAAACTGTGAGTATCTAGGACAAAGGCACTACTTGCAACTTTCCTTCTAAGAGAAGGATCTAAAGAACAAGTGCTTAAGGACAGAGTTTGAGTGTATTTAAGTAATGCAGGAATATTCATTTCTTCCTTCTGAATGTTTAAACTGTATTATCTAAGTGTTTATTCCCATCCCGTGAGACAGAAATATTTACTTCATTTCTCATTTCTTTTGTCTCAGTTTATACAGATAATACTCGAGTGAGCTCATTCCTGACCTAATGGCTAATTCATAGTAAGTGTTAATGTTGGAAGTCTTAATGCTTTCACATTTTTCTCAGTATCTCTTATCATTCTGATTTTCATGAGCCCACTTTTTAAAAACACCCAACATTTAAATTTTTCAAGTAACTTGGATATTTGGACTCTCTTGGAATACAAAGTTGCCACTTTTTAATTTAAGAAAAATAATGTTCCATTGCTATGTTGTACATGAATTCTCAAAAATAGCAAAATCTGAAATTTTTTCCTAGAAACTGTCCTATTCCAACAGTGAATTTATCCAGGAATTGGACCTCCTACTATAAATATGCCTGAGTGACTTGTCAGACATCAGAAAGGCTCTTCTCCTACTTCTAAGTTAGTGGTCTCCGATTCCTGTGTTTTCTGAACACCAACGTCTGTGTTACAACTTCTTTTATCAGATGGCACTGCATCTCTACTGCATTTCTCCTCTTACTGTATAACCAGAAAATCAGTTCAGTGAAAGTAGATCCTGTTAACATTACTGGTTTATCTGGTATGTTGGCCTGTTAAATACTGCTGATTACTTTATTACAGGTCAGATTTGATAACTGCCCTCAGCTGCCCCAGAAAACAGAGCTGATATTAAGCAATTATTTGTCCGAAGTTTCATTGCTATAGCAACGCAGAAACACTTTAAGAGTCTGTAAGTCCGTCTTTTCGTTTGAAAATCGAAAAGAAAATCAGTGTCTTTCTGATTATACAGAGGAGCTCAAAAAATGTACACCAATCAATGGGGCACACTCACCACATTTACGCAATATCTTCTTCAACTGCGCATTCAAGAAAGTATTTGCACTTACATTCAAAGCATCCCACACAGCATCCAGCTCCACAGATGGTAATTACTCCCTTCCATCTTACCTTGATTTTGGCCTATTAGCCTGTCTTCTACCTGGGCCAGCGCTAAGGTAATTTAAGTTTCTACAAAGAATACAATGATTTTCATAAAGCTTTTCTGACAGGATCTGATTAACAATGCCAATTTTCCGCACAGATTACAAACCCTTCTAATAACACCACATTACATCTCTTGCTATATTTTATACAAAATATTTCCACAGATGAAAAAAAATCAATAAAATGCACAGCCACAACATCACAGATAGGGTCTGGCAGTGATTTATGAACCTAAGACAAAGTTTTGTTTCTTAAACTAATCTGACCTATTAACACCATCATACTTTAAATGTATCTCATCACTCTGAGGGGGAAAGAAAACATACTGCAAAATCGAATATACGTTGATAATTAGTTTCATCAAGCTAGTAAGAAATTGATTTTGATGATTAGAATCAGGGACCATCTTCTAAAAATCACACACTTCTTTTGACCATATTACAAATCTTTATGTCTTTGAAGGGGGAGAAGGGGTGTTATTGCTAATCTTACTACTAGTGGATTCTAGTAATACTTAAAGAAATCATATATCTGAATTTCCCCCTCAAATAAATATAAGTGATCAGACTCAGACCAATCATTCCATAGGAAAAGTAGGACAACCGGGTGCTAAAAGAAAGCCTGACAACAGAATTTTTAACTGTAAAAATGGGGAGTCCAACAGAGCTGTCTGCTGAAAATTTTCATCTCTTGGTCCAGTCTCCATATTCCAAGTCAAAACCCAGTACTTTTTTACATTTTCTGTAAAATGGATGGCCTTAATTAAAAAACTCTTTTGTCTGGGGTGCCTGGGTGGCTCAGTTGGTTAAGTGTCCAACTTCAGCTTAGGTCTTGATCTCGCAGTTTGTGGGTTGGAGCCCCGAGTCAGCTCTGTGCTGACAGCTCAGATCCTGGAGCCTGCTTTGGTTTCTGTGTCTCCCTCTCTCTCTGCCCCTCCCCCACTCGTGTTCTGTCTCTCAAAAATAAACGTTAAAAAAAAAAAGTCTTTTGTTCCCTGGTGCACATAGCTTTTCAGAAGAAAAGGAGTTTGCTTATCAAGAATGAATCTAGCTTCCCCAACACAAAGACAACTGTCTTCTCCATATCTCAATAATGTGTTAAGTGTCTTTTCTAACTTAAATAGCGTTCCCTTCAAATGAAGGGTCATACTCTACAGGCTCTTCCTTCTGAGACCTTTATGCCCCACAGCCTACAAAAGTCTTCTGGGCAGTGCCCCAACTTGGTTCTGGATACTCACAGGGCACCCACTTTCTTCTATAAGATGGTTTATAACCTTTCCTGCTGTCTAGCTAATGCAACTTTAAACTTTTCTATTCTTGTCCCGTTCTTTACCTTTGGCAGCAGAGGGAAGGTAAACTTTTCACACAACCATTCACAAGTCCTGATCTCCCCACCCCCATTTCCTTCCACCTCATTCGTGTGATAACATCTTGATGGGAACACCTTACCTCACCTTTTGTCTCCGCTAGTCCATTTGCTTCCTTCCTGGGCTTCAAAGCTAGGCCAGGGCCATTGAGACCTGGCCAGTGGGCATTTTGTAACTGGCAGAGCCACCTGCACTTTCTGGAGTGTCCTTTCTCCCATCTGCCACCTGAACTCTCTTTCCTTAAAGTATTTACCTTCTACAAGTCCCATCTCACTCTGAAAGACGATGTACCAGCTACCCTATGCGCCCTTTGTCTGAGGCTTCCACACCTCACATCCTCGTCCACAAAGCATCAGTCCTCACACAGGTAGGGTCTGTTCGGCACGAGGCAGGGGATCCTAGGTTTCCGCGTCCGGTAAAGGGATGGGTCATGGCCGAGGTCCCTTCAGGACACAAAATTCTACAATTCTATGACCAAATCTGTAGGTCCTATTTCTGCGGTGGGGAGGACAAACTCCGGGGCGACCCCCGAACTCGGCGATCGCGGTGGCAGTTAGAACTGCCCCCTCCAGCCCAGGCTATGAGCAGCCCCGCCTCCGACCTCGGGCGCCGGGCCGCGGAGGCCCGGTCGACGCCCGCTGGCTGCCGCGCCATGCCCGCGCTCTCCTTCATCCTCACCCGCCGCCGCGGGCCCGCCTCTCACCTGGCATGCTGGCATCGCCCGTCCCGCGCTGTACCAGAGACCATGGGTCCGGACCGGTCTCGACCACCACCCGCCCGCCAAGAGGTAGGCTGGCGGGGACGCGCGGGCCCCGGAATCTAAAGCGCAGCCACCGGGAACGCGCCGCCTGGTTTCTAAGGAACCGGGAGCTCTGGAAAGGGAGGGGCGGGACGGCGAGTAGTCTGCGCATGCTCCTTGACGGGGGTGGGCCTGCGCTGGGAGGGGCCGTGATTGAGGGCTGCGCATGCGCGCATGCTCGCACTTTAGGGGCGGAGGTTAAGTGTCTTAGTTAGCCGAAGGGCTAGGTCCTTTATTTCCGGCGGTGGTGGCTGGTGGGCGAGTGTGTTACTGCGTCTACTTGTTTCGGACCTCCGTCCGGCATCACAAACAACCAGGTTCTGGGAACTGTGGTGGGCCTTGGTTGTTCTGGAATGAAGGAAGGTCTGGTGTTGGACACAACGATCTGTCGTTGCAAGCGGTAGTTCTCTTGAACTCGCCGTACTTCCTGGCCTCCTGACTCCTACTAATGACTCTGTCTTTTCTGTTCTCTGGTTCCTGTTTTCTTTCCTTTCTCTTCCTTTGCGTGTTCTTCGGTTGTTACTTACATGTTAGTGGTCCTACAGTGACCTCAGTGCCCCTGATCTCCTTACTGGAGCCTGTGTCCTCCCAAGTCAATACCGTTTTGTAACAAGACTTCTCTTTAGTTCACCATATTGTCCGCTGGAGTAGTGAAACCTGTAAGCCTTACTGTAAAACAGGCTATGTTGGAAATGTAGGATTAGGGGTTGTTCCTACATGGGGAACCCCTCCCCTGCTTTTCTGACTCCTGGTGAGTCTGGACCCCCACTCAGGTGGTATTAGGAAGGTGTCCCAGCCATGGTTCCAGAGCAACCTGTGACAATAGAATATGTCAGTTGAGCTGAGGCAGTTATTCTCAGAACTGCTGACCAACCGGGTCCAACTGCTTTAGGAGACAGGACTTCCTGCCACTGCTGCCACCTTAGGAGCATGGAAGACTCCCAGAGTGATGAGAAATTGTAACCTCTAACCTCCCTCTTCTGATAGGGTTTTATCCCCTTAATCTTTTCCCCTGGATCCTGAACAGCCATGCAGAATCAAAATGTGCTTGTGCTTGATATTTCTGTTTCTGTCCCAATATTCACCCTAGAACAGGGTTTCTCAACAGTGGCACTGTTGACATTTTGAGCCTGATAATTCTTTGTTGTTGGGAGCTGTCTATTCATTGTAGGATGTTTATAGCATCCCTGGCCTCTACCCAGTAGATGCCACTAGCCTAGCACTCCTCCCAAGTTGTGACTACCAACAATATCTCCAGTCACTGCCAAGTGTTCCCGGGGGGGGGGGGGGGGTAAAATCACTCCCTGTAGAGAACCACTGGAGAGAAATTAATCTACTCTGGCTTTATGGAACCAGGACTTTTGTTCTTAATCTAACATTCCATTCTTCCCTGCACAGTAACTTTTCCCTAAGAGAGTTCTGTCGAGTAAGAGTCTGATAAAATAACCAAGTGAAGCACGCATGTACTGTATCCCTTTCTGTCAAGCCTGCCCTATATGTGCTATAATCCCCTACCTCCATGGGGTAGGATTAATCACATTTTAAGGGTGGGGAAACTGAAGCTGAGAAAGGTTAATTTTCCAGAGTTAGTAAACAGAACTAGGATTTGGAGTATGAGTGCTTTCTCCTCAAACTGCCTGGAAGCTAATTCAATAACCCTCAGAAGAGCTCTGACTACCCAGTGTTTGGGATTAGTGTATTTGGAGTCCATTAAAATCTTACCCTGTGGACAGGAGGACCTGTGGCCACCTTTTGGAAGCTGAATTTGCTCCTTGTTTGTCTTAGATGAAAGCTATCTGGGGGGAGAAAGCTGAAGCCTAAGTTCCTATCCTCTTTGGGCTCTCGCAAACACCTGAAGTCTTGAAGGTTCCTGAAGGGTACCAGGGGCCTGGCAACCTAAGAGGTGGGCTGAGAAGGGGCCAAACTGTCAAAACAGACTGTGCCACACATAGGGTACAAACCCCAATAAGACTCAAAACAGAGACTAGACACTCGTGACTGCTCATGGATGTATATTTTAATAAAAATAATTCTGTCAAAATACAACAGGAGTTTTTTCATTTCTCAAGTACAATTTAATAGGATGTTTTGTGTTAGAATTCTCTCTAAACCCTCCCACAAGTTTCATGCTAATGCCAAGTATCAACTCCCAAGGACAAAGGCAGAACCAGTGTGCACAATGTGGAGGACATCTGTTTCAGCTGTAGTTACTAATGGAGGAAAACCCTATGCAAAGAGGTGGCACCTGAGGCAGCCAGAGTCCATGAACTGGCCACAGGTCCGGTGCACGGGACTGGCAGTCAAGTGGGGGCTCTGCTGCCTGACTGCCACATGCATGCATACCTGAGTTGTGAGCAACCAAAGGAACTTTCAGCGCTGACAATTCTCTGCCTCATCTTCTTTGTGCTTGCTTAAGGGGTAGGAAGGTGCTGGGTGGCTGGGCAGTCCCCACTTCCCCATCTCTTAGTGTCCCTGTTCTGGCAGCCTATCCCCCAGCCACAGACCCATGTGGGTGAGGATCAGAGGTTCTGGCTTTCTTTGCATCATCTGCCAGTGTCTGCTCTGGAAGGTAACATCTGGTGGCACAAGGGGAAAAGGTAAACAGGGAAGGCTGCTCCCCCAGGGCTGGATGACCCAACAGAGCCAGGTCTTCTTCCTGTCCTCTTGGGTCAGGTCCAGCCCTTCACTGGGGCTCCTCCCAGGTGCCTTCCCCACTGTTGGCTCCCAGACAGCAGGCTGGTAGGACTGGGTGTGCATAAGGGGCTCCTCTGGCTGGCAGGCAGCCCTGGACTATCAGCAAGATAGTGGACTCAAGCAGCTTGGTTTTGATCCTCTCCATGGCTTGTGGGGCAAAGGCTTATGTCCCAAAGGTAAGCTGTCCAATTGGGACAGAGAGCCCCTCTGGAGAGGAACAGAGTAAACAACTTGGACTCAGCTGAAACAGAGAGATAAGGCACAGAAAATGGGGAGATGGCCATGGGAACTGAGCGTGAGCCAGGTGGACACTCAACCCCAAGCAGCACACAGCTGTCCCGGGCCCTCTTGGGCCCTCTCTCAGCTGCTCCACAATTCAAGCCCAGCCACCCATCCCCATCCCTGACACACCCCTGAAGATACCAGCTGCTTAGACACTGCTGGGGGCCTCACCAGCCTAAGCCTTTCACTCACCATTTGGCTTCAAGACTAAACAGTGTCGTACAGCCCATGGGGATGAGGTTAGTCCCAGCTCTGCCACTAACCTGCTCTGTGACTTTGGCTAAGTCATTTAATCTCCCAGGCCTGTTTCCTTATTAAACGAGAGGACTGGTGGAGTAGATGGTCTCTGAACCCCATTCCAGCTAAAAAAAGCCTCTGGTTTTAATGCCCAATCCTGCTCAGCTCTGATCATTTTAACACCTTGATGTTTTTAACCTCTGCATTTGGGAGCTAGCCATCCCCAGCCTCGCACAGGATGAGTTTTCCTTTACAGACATGACAACACCTCTCCAACAGGCCATGGTCTGTGGGGTGCCAGCCAAGGCCCTGGTGGGGACCAAGAAAAAGCAGCAGCTTATAGGATCATGCCCCAAGGCAGAACTCAGGGAAAGCACAGGGCCAGGGCCCTTACCCCCATCACGAGCAGTTGGTCCAACTGAGTCACATTTCTTGTCCAGCTATGGGCGTGACAGGCAATGAATCTCAGGCTGTACCAACCATCCCTATGTCTGCTGCCAGAGAGCAGGAGCTTATCTAGCCTTTTCCCAGGCAAGGACTCAAAGTTCAATTTCTGGCCTTGCCCCTTGGCAAGGGCTACCTGTGCACTCCCTCTCACTATGAAGCAGGTAGGGAAAGCCCAGCCCCTCCTGGTGCTCCTCTGGGTAGGCCTCCTCCTTTTCTTCCTCCTAGGCAGTCAATCCTCTCCACTGATGGCTTGCTCAAGTCCCAAAAGTCATCTCAGCCCTTCCTCTCCTGATTCCCTGATGGCAGTACCGGGACTGTTTCTACCCCACCAGCTGTGAAGATCCATCTGAAACGGCTGGTAGGACATTTGTAGAGCCCATGAGGTCCCTTCCTCTGGCCAACAAATACTCATAATAGTCTTTTCTAAGAGTGGCTGGGACCAAGCTGCAGGGAGCTGCCTGGCACAGCTGCAGTGAAGCCTGGCTTAGTAGGTCAAGAGTTCCATCCACTCCAGCAACTGGTGGCCCAAGTATCTGCCTCCACAAGGTCCTAGCTTCACAACAGAAAGCATGGATTCCATCAGAGCTGTGCAGAGATGGTGAAGATCCAGGCAGAAAGAAGGCAGTCCCTGTACTCAAGGGCCTCTGTCCTGGAAGGGAGACATCCTCCCCGCAGCCTGACACACAGCAGCTCTCGAGTCAAAGGCAGGTAGTTTCCAGGCAATCAATTTAGAGTAAATGAATTATTTGGCCATCTTAACAAGGGAAAACAGGATGCTGAGTGGGGGGAGAAAGGGAGGGGCAAGGTAGGCAGTGAGAGGCAGGGTAGAACGGTAGATAGCGTGCTGGCCAAGGACCCTCTACTCCCTTGCTTTGCTGTGTAGCCCTGGGCCAACCAACTCATTCCTTCTCTGAAGCCTCAGCCCTATAGTTGTCCACCCAGCCCAACTCTCAGGGGCCTAGGGACCCACACCTTTCGGATGCTGCAAACCTGCCCACTAAGTGGCCCCCCAAAGCCTACTGGGCTTCCAGGAGCTGCAGCTGGGCCTGTGGCTCAACAAAGGGGAAGCCTGAAATAAACAAATCACTTGGCTGAGGTGACAGAGATGATTCTTTTTTAATGAGTTGGTCTCAAATAAAAACATATGGTGTCCGGACAGCCTCACCCAAGAGGTGCTGGATCACTAACACTACGATAAATACTGTGTCTTTTTTTAATATATATATTTATATATATAATCTCATTTTTTTTTTTACTTATGAAAATAGTAAGCTATCACCAACTTGGATAGGCTTCATCACTAAATGAGCAGAAACCAGCTCAGCACAAGCTCTCCAGAGATAAATACTGGTGGCTCAGTCAGGAGGAAAAAAACAAAAAGATTTAAAAAACCCCAACCCCTCCTCAAAACAAAACCCCCCTTTCAAACTAGAAGGCGCTACATGAGAGTAACCAGCCAATACTGTGTCAGAGGCTGCTGCACGCGAAGACAGAGACTGAGGGCTGGCGGGGGGGGGGGGGGGGG